CCAGATGATTAGCAACGTCAACTTCCAGAAGCGCCCATAATGTGTCGAGTGCAGTCTGTGCAACTTCGCCCGAAGTTGTTGAAAGCCACAGCTCCACGAGTGCAGCCACCAAATCCGAATCGCCTGCAACTACGGCAGCTTCACTGTATTTTTGCCCGGCTTTAGCCAACAGTGACAAAGCTAGGAGATTGATTGGCGGTGATGGGGCCTTGAAGCCAGCGACAAGATTGATCGGAGGGTCGATAGATTGGAGATCGGTGAAGGTGAAGTAGGCGGTAGCTCTGATTCCGAGGGTTGTAATAGGTGTAGGGTCTTCCTGTAAGATGGGAAGGAGCACAGATATTTGTGATAGAAGAGTGGCAGGGACCACAGGGTCGGTGGATTCGACTAGTTGCAACTTCAACTTATCGATGAGAGGAATGTCCAAGGCCGTGGAGGGGTTCTCCTGGACTTGAGCGAGGTGTGATCTCACAGAATCAAACGTCGAAGGAACTGACATTGTGACTTCTTCAAATATCTTCAGTTCTTCCAAAATCCAGTCACAGACTTAAAACTGAAATGGACGCCTTCGTGACAGGTGAAGCTCGTCCTTTGCGCCGCGGGGAAAGCTCACATCTGCCTCAGGCATCAACATCAAACCAACCAAACATGACCGCATCAACCAACCGTATCAACTATTACTCTGTCCCTCACCAGAAGTTCCTCTACATCCCATTGCAACCTACAGTCATGGAGCCTCCAAAGTGTCTGGTTTCTCAAAAGTCATCCGATTCCGGTCTCCATATCCAGCTACACCCACTCGTTCTCCTCACGGTCTCCGACCAAATTACTCGACACGTCGCCCGACAACAGCATGGGCCGATAATTGGTGGTCTTCTAGGCCAGCAGAATGGACGAGAGATAACACTTGAGCATGCATTTGAGTGCCCGGTTACTTGCGGACTGAACGATGAGATTATTTTGCCGGCGGCATGGTTTGGAGAACGTCTTCAGCAGTGTACGCAGAAACCCCTCACGGAATCAATTCAAGTTGCTCTCAGCGAGTATAAACTGACCATCTCATAGTCAAGGATGTGCACAAAAACCCCTCTCTCGACCTTGTTGGATGGTGGTCAACCGCGCCATCAGCCGGGCCGAATGATGCCCATCTCCCCCTCCACCGTCAGATCCTCCAGGACTATAATGAATCTGCCGTGTTCCTCGCATTCCACCCCTCTCAGCTCCAAGATTCAAGTTCAAAAGGAGGCAAACTTCCCCTGACCGTGTACGAAAGTGTTCATGAAGGCGAGACTGCCCCCGATGCAAGCAAGGACATGCAGGTTGATGGCGAGGAGCCGGTGCTGAATATCAGATTCAGGGAGCTGCCCTACTCAGTGGAAACGGGGGAATCAGAGATGATTGGTATCGATACTATTGTTCAGGCTTCTGGCACCGCTTCCTTGAATGCGACACAGGAACCAACCAAGCTTGCACAGAAGACAGAACAGACAGAGTCAAATAAGCAGAGCTCGCAGGCTGAACTGTCACAAGAGGAAGAGGAGCGTAAGTATTCACATTCTCAACAAAACTGCTACTTCGATGGTTGACGCTGATCGATTGAAAAGTAATCGCAAGCCTCAGCACTCGTCTTAATGCAGTTCGCACCCTCGAATCCCGCGTCTCCCTCATCAAATCCTACCTTTCTAGTCTCTCAGAAGCAGACTTCAGCTCAGATCGATCCAAGGACAATACATCCGCCACCAAGCTGTCACATCCAATCCTCCGCAACGTCAACTCTCTCCTCTCGCACCTATCCATCCTCTCTCCGTCAGAGCAAAGCACCTTTACCACCGAAGTACTCTCGCAAAGCAACGACGTGCTATTAATCTCGCTACTTGGCCAGCTCGGCGACAACGTCAAGGCCATGCGCGAACTGGGCCGCAAATCTGCAGTCGTTCAGACTGCGCGTCATGTAACCACCGCACGCAAGGATCCCGCCATGCTCCAAAGGAGCTTCAATGAGGAGTTCTATGGCCAGGGTGGGCGTGGGGGTCCTGGCAGTGGGATGTATCAGTGATAGTAGCCAGAGCCAGTTCTTAAGTGTTTCCACGATCAGCCCATGAAAATACCCCCACGAATGGCAATATGCCGGATCTTGGGCCTAGGGTTTCACCTACTTTGCTTAGACAGTGTTCCTTTCTAGTCCCGTTTCGAAGCCATTTAGACGAGATAACGAACTTTGATATGACTGTTTTTCCATTTTTTCCTATTCAATCGGTAACACTAAAGGTTGGGTCCAGACAATAGTTTACAAGAAATGCAAACCCACGGCGGGTGCTAGAGGAATGTGCACCGGTGTGGATATGACAGCTAAAAAGTAAAGGGGAAAAGGGAATAAGAAAGAAGTAGTAAAAAAGAAGTAGTAAAAAAGAAGTAGTAAAAAAGAGAAGAGAACAAAAACAGAAACAAAAGCAGGCGGGTATCCATACCTATCCAAAGAATGGGACATAAAGAGAAAAGTAAAAGCGCAAAAATCTCGAAGTGCTCATGGGTAGCGTGAGGTAAAAAGAGTAATGTTTGCAGCTCAATCGCAGGGAGAATATGCATATCAAAGCAAGCCCTGGCAATATGAGATGTCCACACCGAGTCATAATTGTATCATAGACATAGATCATGCATGATGGTTGCCAGAGTACGGAGGAGGAGGATGGTAAGGATCCGGCATGGGCATAGGGACTTGCTCGCGAAGAGGACCATCGGTTGGGTAAGGGTGGACCGGCGAGTCCGAGTGCAAATTGTCATGACTGTGAAGCGAGGAATCCTGATAGGGTGATGGGCTTTGCTCGTAAAATCGAGACGATCTAGACGGGTTTTGAAGATGGTCATCGTGGTCCGACGCATACGGCGAAGTGCCCGTGAGCGCGATCTCGGGATTGGGCTGTGCATTCGCGAGAAGCACTTCGCCCTCTTCGTAGGGAGTGTTGCCATAGCGGCCCGATCGGCTTCCGGGCACGGCCGTTCCGGCGCCGAGGTAGACCGTTCCATGTTGGGTGAGTTCGCGGCCCTCTTGGGATGGCTGGAGGCCGAGTGACTCGTTTTGGGGCTGATAACTGGGGTCCAGCATACGACTTTTACGGCCGACGAACAGCCAGCGGGCACTTCGACCAATGGCTTTGAGGAGATCCAATGGGTTCATGGCATCAATCAAGGCCCTTATTCCATAGCGTCCACCTTGGTATGCAGACTTGCCGTTGCCGTAGAAATCCGTCACTTCACTTGACTGGTTGGTGAGGACATAGGTCTTCCATGAGAAGGCCCAGAGATGAAGTATACCAAATATAGCCATCTCGCAGTTGATCATCAGCTCTGGGAGCCCAACTTTGAGGTCATTTAGGGCGATTTTATCAGTCGCTGCGATAGCGCCCTCGGAGACTAGAAGGCTGATGAGAGTCTAAAATGCGGAAACACGAGTTAATAAACCACTTATCAAAGGATGATGTTAAAAAGGACCTACCGACTGCCAGAATGACAGGAAAATGACAAGTTTAATCGAGAGGATCTTCAAAAATGGCTGATGTTGCTTGATGTCTTGGCTGGTCTGGTGGTAAAACTGGATCAGGCAGTACATAGCGATGGTGACGGAAACCGATTCAATGACGATGGTCTATCGGTAGATTATTAGCGGAACGACTGGGGACGAAAGATAAGACTTGGTCACTTCGAACATACCCAGATATGCCCAAATGCAGGACTCAGTGACGCCTCGCAATACACCCCGAAAGCCTGCGTGATAACCGCTACGATGGTCATAAGAACGCGCATAACACAGTATTGGAAAACCCCGACCCAAACAATCTGTATAATGATCAGTACCCTGAAAGTCCTCAACATCTGTTCAAGTCCATCATCTTACATTGAACCATGTCAGTCCACTGCGCGGAGTCCGCCAAATGCGCTCACCACCACAGCATTTTTGAAGCCAACTCAACGGCCAGAGCCATGCCTTTGGCTGAATTCCACGGAAGTAATCCTTCTGGCTGTGTAGATCCGGGGCGATGTAGTGGCACATGAGGGAGAAAAAGGCGGAGATACAGAACGCTTCGTAGCAGTCGCCGAGGACCTCAAAGTAGACGGAGTCACGATAAAAGAATATGCTGAGCCATGCGACGAGGGAATAGACGGGGACCATGAATAGGATACGGATAATACTGCGGCAGCGACGAGGACCATGTCAGCAATGCTCGTGCGACGCTTTAACCGCCATCAAGAAGGGAACTCACTGTCGCTGTTCGGTCGGCTTGCTGTAATGTGTGGCATGTAGCGTAATCAGAGCCAAAGATACAACACAGGCGATGATGGCGCAAGCGCCGCCCACCAGGAGCGCTAGGACATGAAATGTAATGCCGCCATCCCAGAGTGCGACCTCCTCGACTACTTCTGATCAGTCACTGCAAAGCCATTCAAGGAGGGGAAACATACTTGATTCGGTCTCTGTGGTATTGCACACTGGCCAGGCCATGGTGGCTAGTGTGAAAATGGCAAAAGAGGACTGTTGACGGAGTTCTGGAGTTTAACCCTTTTTCCCTCTTTATCTCTTATCCGGATCGACAGGGGAAGACGCCACCGAGGATCAAGTAAATATTGAAGAAGCAACTATCCCCATAAGTAAGAGACGGATATGGCGTTCTCTTGGCTGATTATGCACAACCTGTCAACACTTGAAAATCTGCCGAGATTCTAGGGATCTTCGGAAGCTGAAAAGGCTTAGTCTTTGATCTATTTTTATTTGCTTGGCTCTTTGACAGCCCCCTTGAGTGGACCAGTGGACCACCATTTATGTATCTGTCGAATGAGGCTGATAATATTCTGAAGCACAGCCCGCTTTTGTTACTTTGATTCTTTTATCTGATTCTTTTATATTGATTCTTTCATATTGATTCTTTTCATGGCATTTTTGCAGCTAAAAGTCTATTGTACATGGCCAATAACAACGGCCTAACTGCATGCTTTTGACTGAAATTTCAAGAGCGCCATGAATCTCCACGCCGTCCACCACGTCCCCGTCCACGTCCGGGACCAGATCGAGGTCCAGGCCCAAATCGTTCCGGCCCAATGTCCACAAACTTGTCGTCACCTTCGAAAGTAATTCGCCGCATTTCATCACCACCACGACGTGGGAATGTGCCCTTCTGAATAAGCTCGTCAAATTGGTCCAGACGTTTGTCGGCAACGGGACGTGGAACGGGAAGGTAGTACAGCTTGGGTTTTGTAGTGGTGGATTCGAACAATTCATCCAGAGGCTTAAAACCCTGCCCAGGTCGCGACGGGGGTGCCGGAACTGCGAGAGGCGCATTGGAAGGGCGACGGCCAAAATGCTCAATATCACGGCGCGGGCCCAAGGGAGGAGTACGATTGAAACCCGATTCACGTCGTCCAGAGGGAGCGGAGCCCACCTCGGCAAGAGTAGCCGTAGTTCCGTCATCAGACGTCTCATATCTCACTTCCCAACGGGCAGCAGCGCCAGCTCGGTCTCGGGATTTCTCTTCTGTCTCAATCCATTCCTTAATCTTCTCGTCGGGGATAAAATCTGCTCGGAGATTTTTGCGGTTACGCTCGTTGGGCCACACAGTCCCATGGACGGCAGAACGAACCCGCGAGGCTGCTGCGGGACTGGTAAAACTCACAAAACAGTGAGTTTTGATAGCGTCAAGATAGAAGTCAATGATGGCGTCGGAATCTGAGGTTTCGGGGGTGGATGCGAGGCTGGCTAGGTGTTTGCGGAGTGCAGTTGGCTGGAGTGGGCGCATGAGGCCGTCGATATAGAGGGCAGAAGTTGCAGCGTGCAATGCGGGGGTGATGTCCGCATCCTGCATTGTGATGTCTCTCGGGGGAGAGGCGGGTTGGGAGGATGCACCAGCAGGTGGAAATAGGTTGCGGAACCGAGCGTCTTGCTTGGTGGGAGTTTTGTGCGAGTCTGCTTGCGTCTCAATAGGTTGTTTGTCTGTGTGTTCCTCCGTTGCCTTTTGGCCTTCAGACTTTAAATCACTGAGCCCCTCATCGTTTTTCAGCAACACGCGTGGGGTAGTTTCCTTCGCGCGAGCCTTCCTATTCGCAATCTCCTCTAGAGTAGGAGCCGGGCTCTGGCTGCGGCGTTTCCGTTTGCGTGTATCTTCCAATGCCTCTTCCACTGGGAGAGGTGTCGATTTCCCCGTGTCAACCTCAGAGATTTGGGCAGTTGAGATCGATTTTTCTTGAGGCTTTATGGGTTCCTCGTTCTTCGCAACTTGGGCTGCTTCATCCATCGGCGGCTGGTCAGGTACAGCTGCAGGATCTTGATTTCCGGGGGCAGTTGTCTCTGTTTGTGCCTCCTCCACAGGCTTTGCGACCTCTTCGACTTTTTGCGATTTCACATCGGCTGCGGAAACTGCCTCATCTTGGGCTGACTCATCTGCCTGTATTTGTCCATCTTGAATTTGATCCGATACTGACACAATTGCTGTTGTTTCCTCGGGTTGTGAGATTGAATTTTCCCTTGGTTGTTCAAGCTGTTCATTCTCTGGTTGTTCGGGCTGCGACTTTTCTTGCGTAACAGCATCTGGCGCAGATGGCTGTGATTCTGTGGATTCTTCTGCTGGAGCTGCTGCTTCATCTGTATCCTGGTTTGTTTGTGAGTCAAGCTCAACCAATTTGTCAATGAAATGCTGTTTGAGGCGGAGACCGGTCTGAGGGATGCCGCGCTTCTTGCACTCGGCTTTCAAATCAGCCACTTTCAACGACGAATAGTCACTCATGATGAGAAACTCTCCACATCAAAGGTCGATGTAAAGAACGAAGTTTGAATGAGATGAGACCAGTTATTTATATCAGAAAGAATAAGATAATTGGTTGGAGCGCAGGGATTGAATCTGGGGACGCGATGGAAATGCGCGCCGATGATGTAGGACGCTAGCCAGATTTAGATTAGCGTCACTCTTGTCTGAACAATCCATGGCATCCATGGATGCAACCGGACACTACAACACAACAACTACATATACATGCCTCTCTCTTCAATTCCTTAAAGTAAATTAAGTAAAAGAAATTCGACCTATTTGAGAGATGTTGAAAAAAGTTCCAAGAGTTGGTCTTGTTCAAGCACATAAGTCAAATATGCATAGCACTGTACCGGAGGATATATCAGATGCGGCTGAAGCAAACCCAGTATTGCTATAACCTATGTTGTACACATGAATAGTTGGTGGCTTATGCAGGTCTATTTCTTATGTCTTTTGAGACATATATTTCTTAAGTACCCATGCTCTCCCCCTTCCCAAGCTTTAAAAGACGGTAGAAAAAGAGAAGGCAGAAAAAGGCTTAAATTGTGCAAAGGACTTTTCTATGTATAACGTCTGATCAATAGCAATTCACTAACATTGTCTGCAATTGTGGTCATGTGTCGAAATAATATACATTAAAAAAAGTGAACATGCAGCAATGTCATTGCTATCACCCAGGAAAAAGGACATTAATCCCAGACGAGGGGAGCTGTCTACAAGTGGGAGGATGGCCTTGCCTCCTTCCTGTCTTAACTTGCGACCAGTATTTTTGGTGGATGAAAAGCGGTCAAGTACTATACACATGTGGACCAAAATTTACATTGTTTACTCTGAATTAAGTCAAGATATCAATCACCCTTAGCAGCTTTATTATTACCACTCTTCTCCACATATTGTTAGGAATTGTCAAACAGGCAAGTAGTTGGAATAAAACAATACAATCGGAGAAGCAGCCAACTTGGATATATTCACAGTGAGCTAGTAATTTGACGAGAATGCTTCTAATCTACAATACCCCCTGGCAGCAAAGCCACATAGTCCAATGGCGCCGGCTCAGTGCCATCAGGCATACCAACAATCTTCAAAGTATCACCCTTCTGAATCTTGACACCCCGGAACTTGACACGAATCGTTGAGTGTCCATCCAAATAGATAGAAGGCGTGTGGCTAAAGGTATCCTCGCTGTTGCCAACCCATTGGCCGATTTCCCGATTGTTCAGATAGATCGTCCACTGTGACTGGCCACCGTATACATCGTAGTAATTCACCGCAACGTCATAGGTGCCAGAGGGGAAGTTTATTTTGGTTGAAGCGGTGCCGGTCGTACTGTTGGAAGTTGTAACAATTGCAACCGAACCAGAGGCTGTTTCGAAGGGGCTGACGGTGTAAGTTTTGTAGCCCTCTAGCTTCATGTCTTCCGCTTCGATGCGCCATGGGTGATGGCCGACACGCTTGGCCTGGTCTGGGATGCCGGAAAGATTGTAATAAAAGTCATTGATCGCATCTCTCCACACAATTGAGTGACCGCTCTGGTAGTCTAGGAAATGCCGAACATGGTTGTATCGCTCAGTATCAATTTTGCCATGAAGTGATTCCCACTGCGTAAGGAAGGTCTGTGCAGTTTCAGCTCCGGTGTAGTGTTCGTCGTAGAAGTGCTGAATAACTGTCTTCCCTGAATGCAGACGATGAGTGTATTTCACATGGTGGAACCATAGTAGAAGATCGTCCGGTGTGGTTTCGATGTTCTCATACATGGCAGCGATTTCATCCGGATACTGGCCCGCAAAACCTGTGCCGTTTGCTACCGTTCGATCCATTCCAATGCTAGTTTGGTCTGCACGGGTCCATTGGCCCCAGCCATTGTTGTCTTGGGATGCAGGGTTGGGACCAAAGTGAGTGTATAGAATATCTGTTAACGTTTGGATGCCTAGATTGCCACTGTATTGTTCGTAGGCGGGCCAAGATTCCATCGACATGCGAGTGATGGTGTCGAGAACCTTGCGGTCGAGCCCAAAGGTCAGTCTGATCCAGTCTTGCAGAATCTCCTGGGCATCGTCTGCCGGGTTCCAAGCCAAGCGACCATATGCATATAGATTTGACATAGACAGGTGGCTACCAAGCCAGGTGGTGTTTGTGCCCACGTTGACAACAGCTGCTGATCCGCCCAGTTTGCGATTGAACCGTTTACCAGCCACGATATCGCGAACGAGTGATGGCTGGCCGTCAACGCGGAGGTCAGAGTCTAAGATTGTCTTCCAAAGGGGAGCAACATAGACCAAATGCGACTGTTGTCCCAGGTATTCTTGCGTAACCTGCAGTTCAATGGCCATGCTGGTGTTGAACAAATTTGCAAATAAGGCCGATGCGGGCTCACGGACCTGGAAATCAATAGGCCCGTACTTGATTTGAATCACCACGTTATCGTCAAATTCGCCATCTAGATCCTTGAAAAAATCGACAGCAGCGTTTGCACGATCATCCGTCCAGATCGATTCGTTCAGCTGATTGTAGACAAACGCGCGATACATAACAATGCCACCGTAGGGCTGGACCTCTTTGGCGAAAAGGTTCGCTGCATCTGCGAGAGTCCTGTTATATGTCTGGGGGCCTGGCTGTCCCTCTGAGTCAGCCTTGACAAGGTAGCCAGCCATGTCAGGAACCCGATCATAGATCTGGGTCGTAATATTCGACCACCACTCGATGACCGATGCATCAAGCGGATCAAAAGTGCTGAGCCCTCCATAAGTCTGAGGGGATGCGAAATTGAGCGATAGGCCAACTTGTATACCGTAAGGGCGGAAGACATCAGCGATTCGAGCCACCCCGTCGAGGTTTGTGGAATTCAAGAGGGCAGCATCTGCATTGACATTGTTGATGACGACAGCATTGATTCTGATAGAGGCCAAAAGACGGGCGTATTCAGCAACACGGGTTAGGTCGTCGATAATTTGACCATCCTTGAAGAAGATCGAGGGGCCACCGTAGCCGCGTTCGATTCGTCCATCCATGTTATCCCATTGATTCACCCAACGAATAGGCGCAGAAGGATTGGATGCATAGGCGACCTTAGAGAAGTTTCCCTGTGCAAGCATCGACAAGTATTCAAAAGTACCATAAAGAGCACCTCTCTCGTTTTGTCCGAGAATTTGAACGTTTTCCCCCTTGGTGTCGAGCCAAAAGCCATCCTCTTCCAGTTCAGGTATATCTTTCACAGCGCCACAGATTTCCCGATATTGATCAACCGTGCCAACGATAACCGAGGAAGATGTCTTGCACTTGTTGTGTGTGACTTGCAAACTCTTCCCATAAACACCTTTGAGGCCATTCTGCAACTCAGTCCCCGCAACATACACGGGGCTTGTCTCAGTCACATTGAGGGTAACGATGCTCGAAGGGAGGTCGGAATGACAATGACCTGAACATGGCAATGATGCGTATCGCAGCCAGCCATTGAGGCCGTTTTCAGCAGCTGCAAAGCCCAAGGAGGCAAATAAAATGAGTGTACGCATTGTAGCCAGAGTTTCTGGTTTGGGGTTCATATACCTGATCACTCACTGCAGATCAAGTCCCCCCTTTATATGGAACTTCCCGTGAACATCGGGAGACTCGCCGGTGATACATAGTTGTCGGAGAAACTTCAGGCTAAATGAGTGATCTGTCCAAGCCAAGTAATACAGGCTATATGTACTTGAATAATTTCCCCGCAAAGATTGCGGAGTCGTGTGGGGGTTGATTCGGCACGGACATTAAAGCTGAATTTCTGAGCGCCTAATTTTGAGAGCGCCACTGAGAAAGAACCTTCGCTAGGTTCTACCTCGGCGAGACTCGAAAAATGCTCCCTGAGACCCGTAGATTCCCCGAAGCCAACAAATGAAGTTACCCATCGGGAAGAAGAGGCGTGGACACCTGTTCCAAGGGTTTTTTATATATCACCTCTACAGCGTTGCAAATGTAATATATTTAGGGTGTTGTTCGGATTGAAGGATTGAAGGATCGGAGAATTTGGGATTCACCTTGGAATTTTGAGTCTCTCTGAACGCAGAATCTATCCGAGCTGTTTTTCGAGTCTACCCGAGTTGCAAGCCGTCCAGTTGGTCACTGGAAGTAACTTACGGCTAGTATATAGCCAGCATAGAATTAGGATCAGCGCCACGGAGCCTAAAAAGTACTAGACAAAGCCTAAGTTGGATAGGAACGGGCGGACTCAGGATAATGGAATGCGTTTGGGTATTGCATTTTAGGCTATTTCTATGGAATGTCGGACCTCGTCTGAAGACAGGCGCATTTAACATACTGGTTAAGTATCTTGGCACGCTTATCTAGAATATGCCTAGTTCGGAAGATCCGGAATTTATCATTATTCGTGGGAAAGTTTTTGTTCAAGAATGGTTCAAGATTCTATTTTGTTTTATGGCTCGCAACAGGGCGACACGCTTAAGCCTCACGGCTCAGGATGTCGGAGTCACCGGCATCGAGGATAGCCATGGCGGAGCAGCGGAAGAGCTTACCGCAAGCGGTACCGAGCTCAATCTATAGGGCGAGTTAGTCCAATTCGCTCTCCGGGATGCCTTGCGGTGATCCCTTCGCTGAGCAACTTCACTCTCCGAAGTGGTAGTTTTGACCGACTTCTTCTCAGAGTAGTGGAGCTGACTCCGAGGTGCGACAACCAATTTTTCAGGCTGTCGACCCGAAGGAAAGGGGAATGGAACGTACGTTGTTGCCGTTGAAGTGGTGAACGGGGGTCTTGGCGAGCATGGCGTAGTACTCAAGCTCGGACTTGCGCAGAGGAGGGCAGTTTCCGGAGATGAGGACCAGCTTGGCCTTGCCAGAGCGGAGAGTCTTCATGGTGGACTTGGTACCCATGGTAACTGAGAGAAAGTTAGTGAAGTGCTCATTTGTGCGATTGAAACGACCTGCTTACCCTTGCCAGACTTCATCACAAGCGCCAGGCGCGAGGAGAGAGTGTCACCGGACTTCTTAGTCTTGACCATTTTGAATGTTTTGAGGGGTTGGCTCGTAAGAAGATTTGTTGGATGGTTGGCTACAGAAGAAGAAAATTCGCACAGATAAAAAAAAGGTCAAGTGTGGAGCGAGCCCTAGCCACACGTGACACATATCACGTGACTAGATACCGCTTTGTTTTCTGCCAGCGGGACCGGAGGCCAAGTTATTCCAAGGGCTGCGGGGTTTTTGACTCACTCGATTTTGTTATTAGAAGTACACACCCCTGTTCCCAATTTCCAATTCTTGTTTTTCCTTTATTTTGCATATTGTTGTCTCTTTTTCACAATGGCTGAAACTAGCAGTGCCCCTACTGCGCAATACCGTCAGTCTATATCCCCCACTCTTAATTGATGAACCGCTACTAAATCCCGTAGAGAGAGTCGATTCGCAGCCTGAGAACCCTTTTGCTCAGTTGATTGAGGATCAATCCATTGCGATCATCCCTTCCTTCAAACTCGAATCCGGTGTTACCCTCTACAATGTCCCAGTCGCATACACCACGCGTGGAACACTCGCTCCCACTGGTGATAATGTACTGGTGATTTGTCACGCTCTTAGTGGCAGTGCCGATGTCGCTGACTGGTGGGGTCCCCTTCTTGGTGGTCCTGGCCAAGCATTTGATGTCTCTCGGTTCTTCGTGATCTGCCTCAACAGTTTGGGTAGCCCGTACGGAAGTGCAAGTGCTGTGACCTACAAGGATGGGAAGGCTGAAAATGGCTACTATGGGCCTGAGTTCCCCCTAACGACTGTCCGTGATGATGTCAACATTCACAAGCTCGTCCTGGATGACCTTGGTGTGAAGCAGATTGCTGCAGTTGTCGGAGGATCCATGGGTGGAATGCTCACCTTGGAATACGCATTTTTCGGCAAAGACTATGTGCGAGCTATTGTGCCAATTGCGACTTCAGCACGCCATTCCGCCTGGTGCATCAGCTGGGGCGAGGCACAGCGACAGAGCATCTACAGTGACCCGAAGTACGACGATGGCTACTATGCATTCAATGACCCGCCATCCACCGGCCTCGGTGCAGCTCGCATGTCAGCACTCCTCACTTACCGTAGCCGCAACTCATTCGAGTCTCGGTTCGGTCGCAATGTACCCGATCCAACCAAGCCGCGCAACATCAACGGCACCGAGAAACTCCCTACTCCCCCGAACGAGCACTGGGCCATCCACAACGATGGACACCGTGGCGGCACAACTTCACGCTCGGAGAGCAGACAAGGCTCACCGGCTCCTGTGAACGAGGCCGATGTCCAGTTCATGGACCCGCAGTTCTCTGGCACCAAGACATTTGCCCCCGAAGTCGACACAAAGCCCAAGCTGACTGCATCCGGCCGTCCTCGTCCACCAACCTACTTCTCTGCACAGTCATATCTTCGTTACCAGGGTGATAAATTCGTCAAGCGATTCGATGCCAACTGCTATATCGCCATGACCCGCAAGCTCGATACGCACGACGTGTCCCGCCGCCGCGGAAATCCTAACACCGACACCGAAGATACTGTTCTCGAGGCCCTCGGACGCGTAGAGCAGCCAGCTCTAGTTCTGGGTATCGAGTCGGATGGTCTGTTCACATTTGCGGAGCAACAAGAGGTTGCAGCTGGCATCCCCAATTCTCGCCTCAGGCGCATTGATAGCCCCGAGGGCCATGACGCGTTCTTGCTTCAATTTGAGCAAGTCAACCGCCACATTGTCGAGTTCTTCCACGAAGTCCTACCCGATATCATGGCCAAGTCAGGCGCCGATGGTGCGGCTGCTGTGGCCAGCGTCACTAAGCTGACAAAGAGCAGCACCTTCGGTGAGGCCGAGGTGGAGGATATCACCGCTTGGTAAAGCGTTGAAATCCCACCAAAGTATTGTCAGGCGCAGTTCTTTCTGCAGCCATTCCCATGCTCTAGTCTGGGTCCAGAATCCCATGGAGGGGTCCGCGACCGGATAGATGTCATGGTGCATCAGGGGAAGTAGGGTTGCCGTTCTTTTTTCCGTTCCGCCAGTCAGGGAGATAAGCAATCAACTGCTTCTCCCGTCTCTCACTTGGCCTTTGTCCTTGTCCGAGAAGACTGTCAAAGAAGCATCCAACTGCTCTCCATCAGACCCGCCCTCTGGGTCAATTTCTTCCGGAAGGATACTCACTCCGCCGGGGGGTGATGGGTCCGTATTCGGTATTGATAGCCATTGGTTATCTTTGCGGCACGCACGTCGCATTATTTAAAAATAAAAATAAAAATAAAAAAATTGAACATAACATATGGACATGTACAGAGTCCTCCGTACGTTTATATATTTTGACCTTTGGGACACAATAATTAACCTGATAAGGTGGTAGACCTAGTCTAAACTCGAATCGGATAGGTTTTCACGGCCCTAGTAGCGCTGCCCTGACCAAATAAGCAAGAAACAAGCCCCGGTCCAATGTGGAAAGAAGAAAAGGGTTTAGGACTTCAGCAGATAAGTTGGCCCGAGCTGAATGGTCGAAAACAAGATTAGGCCGCCCGTGGCTTTCAAGGCCGAGCGCTATTGAAGCCACATATAATGATTATGGGATAAACTACTCCATATGGAGTACTTGGGGAAACACTAAATAGATATGTGATCTCCTGATAACAACCTACAACATACGTTGTATGTGCAGATAGGGCCAGTCCAAAGAAGACTCCTCTAGATGCCAGAGCAAAACGCCTCCAATGGATTTGAGTCACAAAACACACACTAGTGTACATGGGTCTAACTACATAGGTACATGGCGCTTAGACCCTTTTCATATGATATTAATAACTTAGTATTTGCTCCGTAGCTGAATAGTATTGGATACCGATGTCTTAGATCTCGAATATTCTAAAAATGCTAAAAATTTCTAAAAAGATTTATGTGTAAAAAACAAGACAGTAGAGACCCTCAAAAAGTGGATATCCCATATCTTCCCAAGTGGATGGTCTCGATATGTCGATCTAGCCCTATCTCTCTGTTTTGTTTTATGCAGACTAGCTCGAGTATCACTATCTTTTACCCTGTGAACTAATTAACCAATTAACTAATTAGTATTGTTTCAAATAATATTTCCTTTCCTTTCCTTATTTTATTTAATTATCTCATACTCCCTGCTCTGATGAGATTCTCTACATTCCCTTTCCCCCGCATACCAGACAGTCGTGCCGACAACCGTTTGAACTTTCCTTGACGACATCACATAGTTCGGGAAATTGCCTGGATTTTGATCTGCAGGTGTACTGGAGTCGTTTGAGTGAGGACTCCACTCGAATCAGCCCATCTTCATTGTTTGTCGCTCTTTCCAAAACCTCTCCTTTCAAACTCATCCATTCGATTCTTTCGTGAGACCATCGGAGCATAAACAAAGAAAACTCCCCCATTTCCGAGATGGAGCGCAATCTATCAGCAAAAGCAACTAAGATACGCCACCGTTTGACTTTCACCAGAAGCAACTCCGCGCGAAACCTGGAATCAACACTGGCCTCACCCATTGAGGACAGTCCATCAAGCAGTCGTCCCCGCTCAGCCACTAATCCCGAGTCTCCCACCTATGACGAGCCAACGTGGGACAGCAGGGACCCCGATCCCGTCCGAGGCTACACTTTCACTGATGAACCGGGCTACTTCCGCCCTGCATCGCCGTTCATTGACCGCCAAGAGATCGAAGAAGACCTCGAAGCCGATATCAAGCATGCATGCGCTATGCTATCTCACAACATTGACCGTGGCATTCCAACCGGATTGTCCTATGGAAGCACCGTTCCAGTCTCGACAGATAGACAAAATCCCGCCGGTCAGCCTAATGTCGATGCAGCGCCTTCATCTTTGAAACAGAATGTCATTCTTCTATCGGCGCCCAAGCCAATCAGCCTCAAAGCAGAAAGCACCAAGATACATGATTCCGGCGTTGGTATGAGCTTGAATTCGCCCAGCCAGCCAGGGAGGACATACGGCAACAGCGTATCGCGCACAAACAGCTCAACACGGTTCTATAACAAACAACCCTCCGCTTCACCACCACACAGTTCATCATCAGGATCCCGCTCCCGGAGTCACAGTCTAGCAACAACGATCGAAGAGGATAACCAAATGGAGCGATCCTACTCTTCAAGCCCGGCTCCGTTCCCATACAGTCCCCCGCAATTCAACAGCAAGTGGCCTTCCAAGCCAACGACCCTCGACAGCCCAGTCAGCTCGCTCAACGAAAGTGACACCAACACAAATGCGAACAAACCCGACACATTCTCTCCCGCCATATCTCCACAAGAAGCACCATCTCTCGGCGGGACAGACAGGCCCTGGATTCACGCTAGCAGAGACATCCAACGTTTCACCGACGAAGAAAAGCCGACGGCAACCCAAGCCAAGAATCCAAAGCCAGTGGCCCGCTTCTACAGTTCCTGCAACCAAACAATAGGAGAATTCAACCCCTGTGAATGGCCGACAAAGAATTTCCGGGAGAATCGGAACCCGAGTATTTACAGCGAATTTTCATTATGTTCGTCATTGGGAAGGGGCACAGTGTCCAGACTCGAAACAGGTAATTCGAGATTGGGTGGGTCGACAAATGAAGAAAATTTGCCTGGCGGATACCCTTACCAAACGTTTGCCGGGCCCAATCGCGGGATGTCTTACTCGGCTTCTTATTTGGGGGATGAGTCGAAGCACAAGGAACGTGTTTACTCTGTTGCTATGGCCAGTTCGCCGCCTAAAAATAACCGGCGAAAGAAGGCCTCGCTTTTGTTGCGGAAGCTGACTGGTCTGGGGACGAGGAAGGAGGACAATGGGAATGAGGTTTGCTGATCGGAGCAGGTTGTGTTGGGCGTTTGAACATGCATTACGCGGGATTTGAGCTGGTGATTTTTTTTATTTCTTTACCTTGGGAGGCGTATTGTGTTTTGATATAGAATGTCTATTCTGTTCTATGTATATATACCCTTTTTCTTTTCCTGTTTTCTTAACCATCTGTCATATCTACTGTCTGGTTTATTGGTATATTCATATGTTTTTATCATTTGATTTTGCCTCACACCACCCAAATTCATTTTAGAAATCCTTCTCGAAGTCCACAAGTATACTTTTTTCGCCACCTTCGCAGACATCCAAAAAGATATTTAAAAACGACATCACAAGGCCGCATAAGCGGCCGACTATTCTTGTACATATCTAAACAAGGAAGTCGAAGAAATACGTTTGAAGGATGCTGACAGGAAATCGCAAACTTCCATTAAAGACCAAGAAAAGAGTCACTTTTATAAGAATTAGACGAAAACGGAGTCGCCATCAGACTCATAATCACCATCTTCGTGCTCGCTTCTGCCCTGCATACAAGCAATGCGAGACAAGTGCCACCTCAGTTCCAACAGTTCCATGGAGGGTGGTGACCGTTCCTTCTTGTTGTCGGTCTTGACCATGAAAACATATCCCGAGGGGATTATAGCGACCGTCTCTGTATGGAAGATGATGTTATTCCTCCCAGGGCTCTCACGAGGTCGGTACTTTGGATCCTGGTATGGGTTCTCCATAATTGGGACGAAATCGCTCCGAACATGCTCTGCTGCCCCCGGCAGGTTCTCTTTCAGAGGCAGCCAATGAAACGCTATTTGCATCTCGGTTCGGTCCTCGCTGACCCAAATAGGGCGAAGTGCACACATTGCATGATACCAGTATGTTTGCACTTGGGTTTCCAGAGTGATCTGGTTATAGAGTCGCTCCATGTCCATTGTGCCCTCGGATATCAACAAGCTGTGCAACTTGTCGACTTTCTCTTGATCCCAGAACCCCCTAAGCCAGAACCAGCAATTGGATCGCTTGAGGTATTGAGCCTGCACGCCATTGAGCTTCTTTGGTAGGATATAGGCACTCTCAATCAATGGTAGTCCGCGCTTCGTCACCACGCATTGATAACCATCACGAATACCACTCTCGGATAAACTGACACCCACTATTTCCTTCTTCTCTTCCTTGGTCCCACACTCATCCCAAGGTGACCATGGGTCGCGCTCCCGGACAGTGGAGGTGCTTTCGGGGGAGGGAACGGTAGGAGAGCGAGATCGAGTGCGTTTACGAAGACCTGGCCGAGGTAGCCTGCTGGGAGAACCAGAGATCCGGGGAGGCTATGCTTTACTGGCCTCAGTGGATTGCCCCTCACTAGCTCCTGGTTTAAGTATAATAGTTAGTCAATGTTATAGAACTAACTTGTAGATCCACTCACAAACACCAGCAATATCGTAGATGGAAAATCTCCATAGGTCAGTTTCCCGCATATATTTCTGCTCCTCGGTTCGCGCGTTTGCCATGTCCCGGAGAACATTAATATCGCTGAACCATAAGGCATATAGATTCTGCCGCGGGACATAGCTAAAAATTGGGTCGTCATGGATCATTTTGGCGATGAGTTGTTGACGCTCAATGTCGTCAAACTCCGAAAAGATGTGCAGGGGATCCTGCTGGCCTTCTTCAAGACGTTGTGCCATAATAAAAATAATAAAACAATATGTTTGTCAGGATGTCAGATGAAGAGTGATGGCGAGGATGGAGAGAACCGATTAAGATCATGTATGCCAGAATCTGAACCCAAGAGTCCGATTCCGATTCTGGTAGTCATTTGTCCAAGGCTCTTTCTACTTTTATCTACGGAAGCGACGAGGAGGATATTTGTGAAAGGCATCAAAAAGACGTCATGAAACAAGTCTACTTCAAGTATAATGTTATCAAGTCCCTAGTCATACATAGGAAAGTCTGTTGTACAAAGTATGCTCTTTCTCACCACCTTCACATACATCTCAAAAGACAACTCAAAAGACCAACTAAAAAGACATCACAATGCATTTTCGGCCAACTATTCTTCCGAATAAAATATAAAAATCAAGTTGGTTCAAATCTCGTATAACCAAATGCCAAGCCAACCCCACAGATAAAAATAACATCAAATCGTGAGACATGGTCCTAAATAAAGACAAAACACATAAAATACCCGCCTTACAGACCAAGCCAGAACCTCGTCTTGCCAACATCAAACTCGCCACGTAGCTCTTCAGCCCCAGTACCCGTAATGAGAACCTGGTACGTCCCCTTCTCAGAGATCCACTGTTCCCGCTCCTCATCCCACCAACTTGTAGCCAACTTCTTCTCAACAACCAACTGCACAGTCTTACTCTCACCAGGCTGCAGGAAAACCTTCTGGAAAGCCTTTAGCTCACGGACAGGACGACCAACATCAGTCTTCGGAGGCACGATCCAGAGCTGCACGACCTCCGCGCCAGCAACAGAGCCCGTATTGGAGACAGTCACCGACGCAGTGACAGGCTCACCGGACTCAGTGTACTTGGTTTGTTCGGGAACAGTATCGATGCGCAGATCCGAACGCGCGAAACTCGTGTACGAAAGACCGTGGCCAAAGGCGAAGCCTGGCGCCACATCGCTCTTCTCGAAGTAACGGTAGCCAACGTAGATATCCTCGCCGTAGAGCACGCGGCCGCGCTCGGACCGGAAGTTCAAGTAGGAGGGGTTATCCTGCAGACGGCGGGGGAAGGTGATTGGCAGCTTTGCGGAGGGGTTGACGTCGCCGTAGAGGACGTCCGCGATACCGTTTCCGCACTCGTTGCCGCCGAACCAGGCTTGCACGAGAGCTTTGGTGTTCTGTGCCCATGGCATTGTGACCGGCGTGCCGGACTGGATCACGACAACTGCGTTCGGGCTCACCTCTAGCACGCGGCTGATCAGCTCGTCACTGCCGGGGGGTAGATCCATGTGTTCACGGTCGTAGCCTTCGGTCTCCCATTCTAGAGTGAGACCGGCGAAGATGACGACTTGCTCGGCGGTTTTGGCTTGCTCGACTGCGTTGGAGATCAGTTCTTCTTGGCTGACTTGTCGGCTGGCGCCGAAACGGAAGCCGCCTGGGCCAAATTCGACAACTCCACGTGCGTCGAGGTCTGAGGTTGGTGCGCTGCCGAACTGGAAGAGAACCTTGTATGATTGGCCGGCCTTGAGCTCTTTGGTGCCGATCACTTCGATGGTGGCTGTTCCGAAGAAGGCAGAGCCTCGCTTCTGGTTCTTGGTGTTGTCAACGACTAATTCTCCGTCGATGAGGAGTTGGCCTGTGCCGGCGACTGTCACGCCGAAATCGTAGACTCCGCTCTCCTCCGGAGTGAATGTTCCCTCCATATCAACGTAGTATGTCATGGACTTCATCTTAGGGTTGACATAGTCCATCAGGAATCCGGAAGATTCGAGTAGATGCAATTCATCCACGACCTGTCGGTCCCCACCAGCGCTGGGGTGTTCATTGTAGACCTTGAATGTGAAGCCAGGCTTGCCGTCGGCAGTCTTCAGTAGTGGACCCAAGAGCGGCAGATCCCTGTGGGAGTATACGCCCTGGCTGTACTTGACCTCTCCCTTGGCCTTGGCAGAGACACCATCGAACGGAGTGACAGTGTAGTATGGAGCCAGGGAGGCCGAACCACCACCACAGTATGCAGCGATCTTAGCGTTGGGTCCAATGACCAGCAGAGACCCGTCCTTCTTAAGGGGAAGAACATCATCCTCGTTCTTCATAAGTACGACAGACTCGGCAGCAGCGCGGCGCATCAGAGCCTGGTCTTCTGGTCGGTTGAGAGCCTTCTCGGGGGCTCCCTCGGGAATGCCCAGGGGTTCAACCCAGTTCACCAGGTTGAGGACATTGCGCACACGTTCATCAAGCTGGTATTGGGCCACCTTGTTTGATGAGACGGCGTGTGCAAGAATCTCACCACGCCAGCGGGTCTTACCGGGCATCTCGATATCAAGGCCGGCGACGATTGCATCAGAGGTACTGTAGGTACCAAACCTACAAAATGAAAATCGAATGTAAGTCTCCGAATAAACCAAAAAAAAGCTAGCGGAATGAATCCATCACGGATACTCACCAGTCACTCATAATAAGACCCTCCCATCCCCACTCCTTGCGCAAGATATCATCAAGAATAGCCTTGTTCTCACTGACATGAGTGCCATTAACCTTATTATACGCGGTCATAACACACTGCGAGCGACAAATCCGCATAGCCAACTGGAACGGCATCAAGTAAATCTCACGCAGCGCTCGGTGAGTAAGAATACTGTTAACAGCCAACCGCTCATGCTCCTGGTCATTACAGACAAAGTGCTTAAGCGTAGCAGCAACACCCTTCTCCTGCATTGCCTTGCAGAAGTGGCCGGCCAGCGTACCGGAGAGCACACCATCTTCCGAGAAGGACTCGAAGCCGCGCCCACCCAGCGGCGATCTCTGGGTGTTGATAGTTGGGCCTAGCACGATGTGTGCGCCTTTTGCGATCGCTTCATCGCCCATCAATGCGCCGACCTCTGATAGCAGATCGGCATCCCAGGTTGCGCCAAGGGCTGTTGCGCAAGGGAAGCAAGCTGCTGGGATACCGTTGAAGAAGCGAGTGCCACGGACCCCATTTGGTCCATCAGACATACGTAGTGCAGGGATGTTTAGGCGTGGAACGGATTCTGTGTGCCAGATATCACGGCCTGGTGGGATGAGGTTAGTTTTGGGATTGTATATCTGGGAATGGACATTGGATTTACCAGCTGTGAGGGCCACCTTCTCACCGAGGGTGAGCTCCTCGATGGCTTTCTCGACGTCAATTCGAGCCATGATGTAATGCAGTACTTTTCTTCTTCTCTTGGGTGTATATCAATTGCTTTTGCTCTTGTTCAATTGCTCCAAGACAAGAGTGAAGCTGTTCAATATTGGGATAAAGGTTGTTGGTCTGACAAAAATAGAGAAGTGATACACTCAGTATCTGAACAAAAGGAAAGAACAGGGTCGATCTTTTATAACCGAAGGCTGGAAAGTCAGGTGTTTTCTAATGTATCAAGTGTCAGATTATGAAACCGACTCGTGTAGGCGGGGAAACCGCGTAGCAGTGTCCAATGACGATGGCTACGTGAGATGCTGAGTTGGTTAAACAAATGATATTCCAAGAGATTCAATAGATAATCCACCAACTTTCTTAAAGGGCCACGGAGGTGGTTGCGACTCCGAAGTTTAGCCGGAGGGTAGGGCGGGGCAGAGAAATCGGATGTCGGACCGCTAAACCCTGGAGAGTAACGGAGCACACAACAACTTATGTTGTAAGTACAAAGGAACCTTGGAAGCATGTAATTATTATCGAAGATCCTTGAAGATTGCATTTCTGTTACGTTCATTGAGAAAAGAAAAGAAGAAAAAAAGTACATGTGAAGAAGTGAAGTGGTTTGTCCCCAAACACCGGGCAAAATGCAAAGACAAGATAGGAAACAGTAGACAGTCCAGTGTAGGGGGTACTTGAGGTTTGTAGCAAAAAGAAACATCAAAAACAAAAAGCAAAGTTCCATCATTCCTTTTCAATAGGGTATCAATGGTGAATGGTGAAAATCATGCTCCTCGACGAGGACGCTTGTTATCATTTCCCATCCTCATGCCGCGTCCACCATCAGTGCCATCGTCAGGACCCTGTCGACCGCGCTTACGGTGCCCAGAGCCTCCGGAGCCGCTGCCACCCTCACGCTGGTGATCGCGGTCACGTCGATCGCCACGGCGCTCGCGCTCGCGATCCCGATTGTCGGACCGACTGCCCCGGTCGCCAGAGTTGAAACGACGCTCGTTTCCTTCCGGCATGGGGGGAGGTGGAGGAGGCGGGGGTGGTGGTGGTGCCTCCATGGAGGACGGGGGTCGCAAACGACCTTCACCCTCATGGGTTTCACTGGTATTAGGTGTTGGTCCAGTCATTTCCGACGGTCCATCCGGGCGGTCACGTCGGTCTCGGCGTCGCAGTTCTTCGCGTGAGCTCTGAACCCGACGCAGGGTCTCACGGGGCTCGCCAGTGCCCTTTTCGTCGCGGCTTCCACCACCTCCTACATCGCTTCGACGGCTGCGTTCGCGGTCATTTCGGCGACCATCGCGTCGATTGCGACCACTGCTACTGCCATCGCGGCGCTCGGCCTCTTTCTCGCGAGTAGGCTCCGTTTCACGGTTGCGATTGCTAGTTGGTCCAGAGCGACCCGCCTCGGGAACGGCATCATCAATCAGGTCGCCACCTCGGCTACTGGTGGGTCGGTTGCGGGATAGATCTTCCTGGGGTCCTGCAGGACCCATGGGTGGACGGTTTGCGGATTGAGGTGATGGTGCCTCCATGTTGTTTGGTGGGCGATTGGCGCCTCTTCCGCGAACAGGTGGAGTGTTCGCACCCCGGTCACCACCGCCACCACCAGATTGTTGGAGCATATTGTTGAGGCCTGCGAAACGTTTATCGCCGCGGCCACGCTCCCCACCGAAGCCTTGTCCAGGCGGCCCAGACTGCCCAGAAGGTCCTCGAGGTGGTTGTTGTGGGCCTAATCCGCGAGGGCCCGAGGGAGCAGCAGCGGGGGCTGCAGGTTCATTGACAAGATTCCTGAGGCGATCTGGGTGAATCCCCGGAGCGCTAGTCGAGCCTGCGGGTTGTGTTGGAGGAGCGGATTGCTCGGGTGCCCTACGCTCACTCTGTCTGGCAGGGCCTGTGGGTGCCTGGCGTTCCGGGGCGGGTAAGGTAGCGTTGCTTGAACTGAGCATTGGAGGGGCTTGTCCAGGAATATTACGTCCGCCGCGTCTCCGAGGGCCAGCAGGAATATCAGATGGAGCTTCCGGCTGCCGAAGTCGACCATGAGTCATATCAGGACCAGCTGCAGTGTCCCTTGGATCAGCCTGTCGATCTGTGCGAGGGCCCCTGGGGAGATCATCAATACGGGACGACGAAGGGAACCCGGCAGGTCTGCGATCATCGGGTGGAGGGAATCTTTCGGGGCGGTTCGGCAGGTCGGCAGGTCTGGGCGGCGATAGAGGGCGCGGCGGATAGGGCCTCCGATCATCTTTCTCTGGTCTGGATTGATCTCCACGTCGAGGAATATCGACGGGGCGGTCCATGTGGTCAGGCATCAGCTCTCCCCGCACAGAAGGATCGCGTCCATGGAACGAATCATTGGGTCCAGGACCACGCATGCGGCCAGGCCTATCCATAGGCCAACCATTCTCACGAGTAGAACGAGAATCACGAGGTGGCCCCCGCATGAGATCATCAGCTGGAGGTCTCATAGGGAATTCGCGATCACGTTCGTTGAGATGCTCATTGAGACGTCCTCGAACATCGTTTAGAGGGCCATCAAAAGAACGGGTATGATCAGGGCCACCATGACGACCGCGGGGCCCAAAGTCGGGATGTCTATCTCGTCGATCATCTAATCCCTCAGGGCGCGGAGGCAGTCTTCCATCGCTGTGTCGTGGCGGAGGACGAACGGGAGGATGGACTTGTTGGCGAATATCAGGTCTTTTGGGAATATCAGGCTGACGGGACGAAGTGGGGGCACGAGAATGTGGCCGAGATCGCACAGGGGGTTGTTCACCGGATGTAGCATCTTGGCTGGTATCTCCAGTGACCACAGAAGGTGTGGTAGATCCGGCCTGAGAGGGTGTTCTTGTCAGCTTGACCTCACCACCCTTCCCTGTACCAACATCGGTCATTTTCGCATCCTCAATTTCACCATCCTCGACTTCAGCCTTGCTAGGCTGTTCCTGCTTGGCAATGCCATCGGAGCTGATGATCGAAAGGTTAGTCGTTGTGAGCAAGTCGAGATGGTCAAGGGTGTCACTTACATTGAGGAACCAGTGGGGTTGAACTCTGGGGCAGAGGCATTCAAGGGTGTTGTAGCAGACTGCGGGGTCCCGGGCTTTCCAGCTGCGTCGGCAGATGCCTGAGAACCAGGCTGAGCTGCCACAAAATAGAAAGCCTGCGGCAGCATCCACTTCTTCTCGCGCCGGTTAAGGTCACCGATCAAAGACGCGGCAGGAATCTTCACATCGTCTCGCTCGTCATTCTTGCTCAGGTGGTCAACGCAGTTCAAGATGTCGCGACCGATCCAGTTCACAGCAGGGAAATGCTTTACAACAGCCTTGAGCACACTGATTGCGTTTCGAATATGCATGTATTCGCCACTACCGAGACAGCTCTTCAGCGCGTTGGAAAACAAGCGGTGCCATTTGTACAACAGACGCCGGAAGTCTTCAAATTCCAAGAACATCACTGGCACGCCTTCTGGATCGACGTTTTTCGCAAAGCCAGGAAGGTCTCTCTTGGCACCGAACGCCTCTTTCTCGTAAACTGCCTTGTCGGCATGCCATCTAGTAAGATCACGCAAGATCTCATTCAAGAAACGACCAAGGTTGTCCGCTTCTTTGGATGTGCACAAGAAAATGAGAGCGGTGAGTCTCTGCTCACGGAAAAGCTGGTCAAGAAGACCAACAGTCCGGAAATTAGGGGTCCCAGAGCTATGCAGGAACTTCAACATCTTAAAGGAGAAAAATGCATCGAGAGGGGACAACAGAAGCCTAGGAATGAAGCATTGCTCCAACAGGGCAACATTGAGAGCGTCATGCTTGAGGCGCATACCGGCGAACCACTTGTCTTTCTCTTTTTGTAGCCGAGAGCGTGTCTGCCCATATGCCTTCAGATGATTCTTATTCTCATCTAGAATGCGCTCCTGTAACTGAGTTAGTTGGCGTTTCAGGTGCTCCTTTCGTGTCGTGCCCGCCACACTAAGATCAGACCGATCACTGTTGATAGAGACGACTCGGCGCTTGAGTCTGTCGATTTCATCCTCGTAAGATTTCTGCGGGATATGAACATCATAAAGGGCAAGCTGCCAGAATGTTGCATAAAAATGAGCACCAATAGTCTCCCATGTTTCGGCAGGAAGAGCGGTTTTGACATCGTCAATCAACTCTTGCATGACGGGGTTGGCTGCCAATGGCTCGGCATTGCCCGCAGGAACAAGAATAGCATCGTGTCCTTCGATCGGAACCGTAATTCCTGTTTCGTCCTTATCGACATCCATGGCACTGTCTGCTGGAGTCCCCTCGGACTTCGGAGATGCTTCTTCGTCCTCGGTAGTGTCCATCTTACTGTCGCTGTTCGACTTCGAGGCAGAGGCTGAACGTTCCTTCTCTTGTTTTGATTCTTCAATGTCAGTTATTTTCCGGGCGATGCTGGGCCGCCGAATCCAGAAGGCGATTTCGGGCTGAATGCCAAATTCCGTGACGAGTGATGAAAAGTCAGGAACAAAGGAATCGAAATCATCAACTGAGAGATTGCTGCGAAGTAAATCAAGGTACTGTGTGAGAATTCTGTGGATCTCGTCAAAGATATTGCCGAGAAGTTTGAGCTCCGAGGAAGTTTCATTGTAAACACAAGTCAGTCGTTCTTGGGCAATTCCCACCAACAGTTGACCGGCGAGTCTGGTGTGGGTCAATGACTTGAGCAACCGTTTGGAAGTGGTCTTGGACTCATGACGCTTATCTAGTAGTTGCAAGATGGTCTGGGATTGAAGAACGTCGCCACCGGCCATGGCCTGGATTTGGGCGTCATTAAAGTCGTTGTCTGAGATGATGCCAGCCATTGAGCTAATCAATTGCTCTAGCACAATGAGATCGGTTGAATTGTTGTGCCGCAGTTGCTCGACCACATACTGGAGGACTGGAGTAGGGTCCATCACCGAGTACCGTTTGTAAGTTCGGCCGGCGAATGTGGAGAGGGCGTTCAACCATCGACTAGTCAACAGTCCACCTTCCTGGACTCGACTTCGTCC